CACTGCTCAGTGTTAGGGGTGTGAATGCAGGGTCAGCACCCAGGTGTGATGGGCCATGCCTGAGAGAAGTCCTGTGGGGTGAATGGATATTGCCCTGGCTTCATAGCCTCCGGGACGAATTCTTTGGCTCTCCCTGAAATACTGTGAGCTATCAAGTACCCTTTAGTAAACTTCTTTTCTTTTCTCTCTCTTTTTTTTTTTTTTTTTTTGAGACAAAGTTTTGCTCTTGACTCCCAGGCTGGAGTGCAATGGCGCGATCTCGGCTCGCCATAACCTCCGCCTCCCGGGTTCAAGCGATTCTCCTGTCTCAGCCTCCTGAGTAGCTGGGATCACAGGCATGTGCCACCACGCCCAGCTAATTTTGTATTTTTAGTAGAGATGGGTTTTTCCATATTGGTCAGGCTGGCCTTGAACTCCCGACCTCAGGTGATCCACCCGCCTCGGCCTTCCAAAGGGCTGGGATTACAGGCGTGAGCCACCGCGCCTGGCCAGTAAACTTATTTTCTAAATAAATTTCTGACAGAATCACTAAAGTGGATTCTGTTGCTTGCAACCAAAAACCCTGACTGATATGATTGCTTATATATAAAAGTGTTCAGAAGAATGATGTGATCAAAATAGAAAACAAAAGACAGACTACAGTATAACAAGCAAATACAAATAAAAAGAAAGTAGAGGTCTCAATGCTAGTATCAGACAAGATGGAATTCAGGTCGAAAAAACCATTAAATAAGTGCACTTTATAATGCAAATAAGTGTAATTATCAAGAATATATAATTGTATATATGGCTGTTTATGCACCAATAACATAGCAACTTGGTTAATAAAGTAGAAATTACAAGAGATAAAGGGAGAAAGTACAAACTACATTAGTAGACTACTTCTTCTAGTTTGTAACATTAAGTAAGGTAAATCTAACTGATATATATTAAATAAACTGTACCCTGGAAATAGAAAATGTACCTTCTTTTTAAGTGCCCATGTTACATTTGTGAATGACAGATATCCCAAGAGTATAAATAGTACAGGAGATATTCTCTGATCATCATGTAATAAAATTAATCATAAAGCCAGAAAAAAATTCTCCCTTGTACTCAGAAACTAAAAAATCTTTATTTTCATATTGAAATGTTTATAATAAGATGATAAGATATCTGGGATTTGGAGTAAGATGAACCAAGATTCATCATATATTGGTAATCATTGAGCTGTGTAATGGGTATATAGAAATCCTTTATCCTATTTCTATACTTTTCTTTATGTTTAGAATTTTCAATTAAAAAAATTTAAAACCATTTTATCAAATACTCTTTTTTTAACAGGGAGTCTCACTTTGCCACCCAGGCTGGAGTACAGTGGTGAGATCGCAGCTCACTGCAACCTCTGCCTCCCAGGTTCAGGCAATTCTCCTGTCTCAGCCTCCCAAGAAGATGGGATTACAGGTGCCTGCCACCACACTCAGCTAATTTTTGTGTTTTTAGTAGAGACAGGGTTTTGCCAGACTGGTCTCAAACTCCTGACCTCCAGTGATCCACCCACCTTGGCCTCCCAAAGTGTTGGGATTACAGGCGTGCGCCACGGCACCCAGCCCAAATACTCTTGATATAAAGAAGATATAGATATCAAAATTGTAAAATTTCTAGAAAACAGCAGTTATGAAACCTATAAAAAATAAAGCAGAGCTCATGGGAGATTTTAGTCTTAAGTATTTAAGTATTTAAATCAATCCAGAAAGAAATGGAAAAAAAAGTGAATTAGTATCCAACTCAAAAAATTAAGAAAAGAAAAAGGTACAATAAAATAAACCAAGAAAAGAGGGGACACAATAAACACAGATAAAAGCAGAAATTACTGAATTAGAAAATAGAAAAAGGTAGTGCCAAATCTAAAAGCTGCTTCTTTAGTACAAAATAAATCGCTAAATGACTAGAACTAACTGGATCACAGGCTTATTAAAATAATGCTAGAATGTATGGCTTTTTACCCAGAAATGTTTGCAGCGATTGCCCAGTTAGACCATAAACTTGATTATACAGTTGTTAATAGCAGAGGCAGACCCGACTCAGTACTCACGCAGGAGGGAAAGTATTTTGAAAAAGAAATTTGGAAAAGATAAAATGAAGCTGTTGCACCATAACTAATTTTCACAGTTAATTTCTGCCTAAAATTGAGATGTGCCCATAGGCAGAATATTTTTCTTTCTGCTTATTATTTGGGCCTGGATGACCTCTCTTAGTTCTTGCTTCTACATACCAGAACCAGGTACAAGTAGCACGTACAGCCTCCTGCAAGCCATGGCTTACCTCAATTTCAGCACTAAAGTATTAGGTTGGTGCAAAAGTAATTGTGATTGTTGCCATTGAGGATTAGAAATCATTCTACTATAAAGACACATGCACACGTTTGTTTATTGCAGCACTGTTCACAATAGCAAAAACTTGGAACCAACCCAAATGCTCATCAATGATAGACTGAAAAAGAAAAGTGGCACATATACACCATGGAATACTTTGCAGCCATAAAAAAGGATGAGTTCATGTCCTTTGCAGGGATATGAATGAAGTTGGAAACCATCATTCTCAGCAAACTAACACAAGAACAGAAAACCAAACATTGCATGTTCTCACTCATAAGTGGGAGTTGAACAACGAGAACACATGGGCACAGGGAGGGGAACGTCACACACTGGGGCCTGTCAGGGGGTGGGAGACAAGGGGAGGGATAGCATTAGGAGAAATGCCTACTGTAGATGACGGGTTGATGGGTGCAGCAAACCACCATGGCACATGTGTACCTATGTAACAAACCTGCACGTTCTGCATATGTATCCCAGAACTTAAAGTATAATAATAATAAAAAAACCACGATTACTTTTGCACCAAACTAATACTTTTTTTCATAAATTTCTAGCTAGCAACTGGCATCGCATCCCCACTGTCTCCAGCCCCTCGACTGCTGTTCCCTCTCTTTCTGCCTGTGCTTCCTCTCCCCAGCTCAACGTGGCTCTGTTGAGGTCACCTTGCTGCATCTCGCCTCTTTCCCTCCACGGCTTGGATCTATTATCCCTGGGAAGTACTCCACCTGTGGGAGTCTATCTGCCTCTCTCCCAGACCTTTCAGCTCCCTCATTAAATATTGAACAAAAAATTAATGGGCACCTGGTGTGTAGGAGGGACTGTGCAATCGACTGCGATACAGTGAAGAGTCACACAGACATGGCCCCTTCTCACGGAGACCTGCACCTGGGGCAGAGCACAGCGATCCAATAATGACTTCACTAAAGGCTTAGTTACAACCAAGGCAAGTGCCGTGAAGAAAGCACCGCTTCACATCCCCCACATCTTCCAGGTCTGGTGAGTCACTTCCTATGTTTGCTTTTGTGCTTTCTAGCCCAGACCCCACAGAACAGCAATTCCAACACTCTCTTACCAGCTCCCTCCACTCCATTGCTCCTTGTTCTTTGGCAAACCACCAAGCATGGAGTAAATTCATTTATTATTGTGTATTTTGAGATAGGATCTCCCTATGTTGCCCAGGCTGGATTTGAACTCCTGGGCTCAAGCAATCCTCCTGCCTTGGCCTCCTGAGTAGCTGGGACTACAGGTGTGAGCCACCATACTCAGCAACATGGAGTAAATTCAGATTGACACCTTCCTTCTTTACACCAGGAACCTGAACGATGCTGATGAACCACACTTCAGCGGGAATGGGAGCTCCAGTGCTTTGATGCATCCAACCCCAACTGCACTGCACACTTCTTTTTTTTTATTGAGACGGAGTCTCACTCTGTCACCCAGGCTAGAGTGCCGTGGTGTGATCTCCGCTCACTGCAGCCTCTGCCTCCCGGGTTCAAGTTCTCCTGCTACAATCTCTCGAGTAGCTGGGATTACAGACACACGTCACCACGCCCAGCTAATTTTTGTATTTTTAGTGGAGACGAGGTTTCACCATATTGGTCAGGCTAGTCTCGAACTCCTGACCTCAGGTGATCTTCCCACCTCGGCCTCCCAAAGTACTGGGATTACAGGCATGGGCCACCGCGCCCGGCCTGCACTGCCCACTTCTTAGCAATGTTCACACACACACACCTCGTCTCCACAGTGGCTGCTCCACACTGCTCAGTACTGTCTCCAGATGATCTCACCCTCATTTCACAGGGTGCCTTTGTGACTTACTTCGCAAAGAAAATAATCACCGCCATCAGGAACTCTCCTCTCTTGCTCCACCCACTCACCTGCTTACATGATATTCCTTCTCACCTCCTTCTCCCATCGCTCTGATAAGGGCCTCTTCTGTCTTTAAGGTGAATTTCTCCTCCCGCTGCCTCCTGCCCTGACCCTGTGCCCTGGGTCCCATTTAATTTCCGCTGCTAAGAATTGGTTCCGTTAGTCACGCGTCTTTTTCCATGTCATCCTTCTCTATCCCTCGTTGGTCCCTTCCCCTTAGCATACAAACACACCCAGCATTTTCACATCCTGAAACAGACAACAATAAAATTCCCTTTCTCTTGCCTCTGTTTTTCCTTCTAGCTCTCTATTTCCCTCTGATTACTTAGCCAAGCACCGGGCAAGAATGCGCTCCAGGGATTCTGAATGTTCCCAACACAATGACAAGTGTTTGAGGTGACGGATCTGCTAATTGCCCTATTTGATCATTGCACATATGTACATGTACCAAACTATCACACTGTACCCCATAAATATGTATAATTATCATGTGTCAATTAAAAATAATAGTAAAAGAAAAAAAGGCCAGGCACAGTGGTGCACACCTGTAATCCTAGCACTCTGGGAGTCCGAGGACGGTGGATCATGAGGTCAGGAGTTCTACACCATCCTGGCCAACATGGTGAAACCCCATCTCTACTAAAAATACAAAACTTAGCCGGGCATGGTGGCAGGTGCCTGTAGTCGCAGCTACTTAGGAGGCCGAGGCAGGAGAATCACTTGAACCTGGAAGGCAGAGGTTGCAATGAGCCGAGATCGTGCCACTGCACTCCAGCCTGGTGACAGAGCGAGACTCCATCTAAAAAAAAAAAAAAAAGAAGGGTTCCATTTTCTGTCTCCACTCACTGTGCCCACCTCTCTTCTGCTTACAACCCCTGCTGAAATCGTTGGTTTCCATTTTCACCAAACCAGTAAAAGTATCCCATACATCTCTGTGGTCACATCCAGGGGCCTTCTGACTTCTTTTGGCACTTGGTACAGGTGAGCCCCTCCTTGCTGGAACTCCTTACTCTTGGTTTTCATAACACCACTTCCCTGGTCTTTATAGTATTTCTGGCCTCTTCTCAACCTCTTTTGTGAATTTTTGGTTTTACCTCTGCTGTCTTTTACGTCTGTATCCCCGGGATTCTGACCTTGCTATCAAGGTTCTTTGTCTACTCTTTCTACTCAGCTTGAGTGATTTTGCTCACAACCAGGTTTTCAGCTGTCACCCCCCTGCTCTTTGTGCCAAGTTCTCTCGCCCATTCTTTCTCTGGAGAGCTTCCTCCTGACCTCCAGACATGCTCCCCGACTTGGCTATACCCTTGGCAGATCCGTCACGCTCAGCACTTCGGGCCTGCATCTGTCTTCTTCCTCTCCACACCTCGGGACACGCCAGGATTTCTGTCCTGCGCTTCACATCTCAGTGGATTGCAACACTGCAGGCAACTGCCCAGAGAGCAAAGCGTTATCGCAGGGGCCTTCTGTCCCCAACTTGCCAACACCGCTGACACTTTCTCTGAAATATATTCACCCCTGCCCTCTAAGCAGCCTCTCTCCCCACCCCAGTCGTGCTGCCAAAACCTAGGTTCAGATGCAGAGAGGCCGTGGGTAAATTTCCAGCCTCCTGCTTCCATCCTCTCCCCATCTACGCTGGCTTTCAAAAAAATCTGAACAGATCTTTGTGTCCCACAGATAGGATCATGCTTTCCTCAGCAGAACTTGTCCTGAGCTCCCCGTGGGCTATAGGACAAAGCCTAGTGTCTTTTCCCTGAAGCCAAGGCCCTTCATTGAGGTTCCCACTGCGGTGTCCTCGATCCTGCGATCTATGCTCCTGTAGCTCGGACTTGCTTGCCACACTCTCTACTGAAGGCACCCCTCTTCCATTTGTCCTTCTAGCAGATGCTTCCTCTTCCAAAGGACGCAGCTCCGATGTGCCTTCTGGGAGGCACCACAGAGATGCTTGGCACGCGTCTCCCACTGCCCTTCCTTCTCGACTTCACTGCAGGAATCGCCCTGCAGTGGCACCACTTCTTCTCAAGTCTGACAGTAAGCCCCTGCAGACCAGATGCCACATCTTCCTACAGGTACGTCCCAAGTTTCTAAAGCAGTGCCTAGGACCTTGCTAATGCCCAGTAGATGTTCGCTGGGATGATCTTATGCCCCCCAAACTCCTTGTTAGTTGCTGCCTCTTTCTCTGTTGCAAACACAGCTTCCATGTCGGGATTGCTGAGGGGCTGCCCCACCTCACAGACGTGCTTTCTCTTCCTTCTCCTTTCTTCACCATGGAGGTGACCCTTCTCCAGTCTCTCTGTGGGGAGAAAATGCTCTCTCGTGTCATATCTGAAATTTTTCTTCCTTCTATGTCCTCTTGACACCTGGCTTGTTCTGTGAAAATGTCCTCTGAAGTCCCCAGCCCAGCCCAGCTCTGTGGTGGGGCAAAGGGGGAGCCTGGTACCAGGGTCGTGGGAGCTCTGTGCCCTGGTGTGCCGCCTTGCTGGGTTCATCTCAACTAATGAGCTTTTTGTATCCCTGTGCCAACCTTTGGGCTATTTCCTTTTCTAGTCTTGGTTTTGAGTTTCTTCTTCTGACATTTAATTACCAGGAAGAAAAGTGGGAGGGATGTATTTTCTCAGAGAACTCCATGATTGTAAAATCATGGTGCCTGGTGTCAGGGGTGTGACACCCACAGGGATACGGCTGGGTGCTTCTGTAGCTCATTCTTGCTTCCCCGTCACACTGGCCTTCTCTGCAGAGGTCAACGCCCTCCTACAGACCCCCTGCCCAACTCTCCCAGCCTCTTGCTTTTTCTCTCAATCAGGCTAGAGAAAAATATTCCAATCTCCAAATTGGGACCCTCAACAAAGGAGGTTTTATTCTTTGTGAAATTTGTTTGCATAATAAGCCTTAATAAGCCTTACAATTATGTGGCATTTAAGTGAGATCTATAATAATTTTATAGAAAAAGCATAAATGATACTAAATTGGAACTGTTTGAGAGAATATGGACTGTAAGTGTGCTGAGGCAAGTAAAACCACTGCAGAAAAAGGATTTAAAAGCAGGGAGAAATAAAACACTCTTAGCCATATTTTCCAGTAAGAGACATTCCAAAGCCTACTTCAATCAAAACTGCTTTTGTGTTAGTCAAGAGTGTTGGCATGTAAAATCTATCATTTAAAATAGTTTCCAAATACATTAGAAAGTGAGAAATGACAAGGTCCATGAGAGGATTCCTGTGCTGTCACTAAGTATCCTTGCCTGGGAAGTCCAGGCAAGGGCATGTTATAGGTGAATTGTGTCCTTCGGAAGGATACATCGACATCCTGTCCCCGAGAACTAACCTTGAAAGTACAGTCATTGCAGATGTGATTTGTTAGGACAAGGTCATGCTGGACAGGGTGGACCCCTCATCCAATATGACCAGAGTCCTCACAAGAAGACGGTGTGAGGACACAGAGGACACCATGTGACAGCAAAGGCAGAGGCTGAGTTTTGCCATCGCCAGCCGAGATCACCAAGGGCTGCAGCCACACAGAAGCTGAACGATGGGGACTGGTGACAGCCTGGCCCTGCCGCACCTCGATTTTGGACCTGCAGTGTCCAGCACTGTCAGTGAACACATGTCTGTAGTCTGAGCCAGTTTGTGGCAATATGCTACAGCAGTCCTGAGAAACTAACAGGCAGGAGATGAATGTCCAAGGCTGTGCGTTTCTTCGAAGGGTGAAACCTGGCTGCTGTGTGGCCTCGTTCACCATACCATCCGGGTTAACACTCCGGTAGTTTGGCTTGCCATATGAAGGAAGCATTAGTAAAAACGAATGCGGGATGGCTCCGCGCTGAGATGGGACAAATTGTTTGTACATTGTGGTGAATTCATACATAAAATTATTGGTCTTTTGCCAGCAACACTACCCTGTAATTAGGTGTCTTTCATTTGTGAAAGGGTGTGGCGAATGTTGGTTTAATGTTGGTCAGTTTAATAAAAACCGATTTGCCAAGATTTAATTCTGCAGAAATAAAATTTGCCTGATGATAAATTCATCAAAGTTACCGCATTTGTTGACTTACTAAATTTATCATTCATGTTGAGTCACTTTACCGGCAAACAGAGCTCTGGAAAGAGTTAATTCATTTCCAGTTTTGTCGGTGTTATCTGGCAGTATTTAAGTAAGGTTCAATTTCTCGAAGGCTGGCACTTGAGGGTAATATAGTCCTCTATGAATGAATGTATGTAGAATCCAATAATGCATATTTTACCGTCAGAAACCCCAGTTTCAGGATTTTATACGAACATTGTTTTCTGTTAGAATATCAATTTTTGCTTTGACAAGCTTTTCTGCAGATAGTGGTTATAAGATTCTTTTTCCAACTTCTCAAATACTCCATCAACCTTCGCTGGTGATTTCTGGCCATTAGTAGCCCAAATATTAGCACATGTTAGAGTCATTCCTGTCACTTCCTAGTTTGTTTCTTACTCTATCCATATTTTAACTTTTAAAGCACTATTTTACTATCTTTTATTCTTCACATTTTTGTCGTTATGGTATAGGCATATTACATTACTACAGTCTTTTGTAGTAATACCTTAGGTCATCGCCACCTCGAAAGGTTTTCTCTCTTCACATTGAATCTTTCTCCAAACTGCCACCAAGCCTGTGTATCCTTAATGCTTTCTGTTAGAGTTCACAATGTGAGCACTTCTTTAAATCTAAGTGTTTATAAAACGCTGAATAGGCCCAGTGTGGTGGCTCACACCTGTAACCCCAGCACTTTGGGAGGGTGAGGCAGGAAAGATTACTTGAGGTCAGGGGTTGGATACCAGCCTGGCCAACATGGGCAAACCTGACTCTACCGAAAAATACAAAAATTAGCTAGGTGTGGTGTGTGTGCCTGTGGTACCAGCTACTCAGGAAGCTCAAGTGGGAGAGTCACTTGAACCTGGGAGGCAGAAGTTGCTGTGAGCCAACATCGCGCCAGAGTGAGACCCTGTCTCAAAAAGAAAAACAAAACGCAAAACAGTTAATAAACAAATATAGCAGTTGATAAATTTAACAATGCCTTGTGCTGCTTTCGATGGTTTCAACAGCCTGAGTCTATTTTATAGTTTTAGTTATAATTTAGTAATTTAGTTCTAATTTAGAAGTGACGGTTTTGCAGCAGCCTCTGTGTAGCCTGCTCATTGAATGTCAGTTTCCTGTGTTTCACATTTCAGATTCTGTGAGTTCTCTTTTGCATAAAACATAAGGAAAATATTCATCCAATAGAATAGCTTAACAAATCTGTGAATCGGGGGAAATAAAAAGGCAATTGACTAAGTTGCAAATATGTCATTGGAAGAAAAAAATGCAAGTTGTCATTTATGACGTCATTGTCACTTCCACATAGCCTGCCCTGACACTTCGTAATCTAACCCCTAATAGTTCACTGTCAAATCTGAGGCGCAGATAGTGATTTCATCTGAAATGTTAAAGTACATCTCAAGTCAGAAAGAATTCCTTACAGGCCAAGGCATCTGAGGATGGTGTCTCTGGCTTAGTTGCTCTTTTGTTTGTTGAAGATAGGATATTGGGTGACATTTGATTCAGATAATCGGGTCAGAATTCAGCTCTGTGATGTCCTGTGCAGCTCCGGTCTCCTGTGACTTCCCAACGCAGGTGCTGGAGAGGAGGGCGTAGCCTCCATGTAGCCCTCAGTGAACGACAGACCTGAGGCATCCACCAATGCTCATTAAAGTGGTTTCCAAGCGTTCCAGAATATGTGGGAGAAAATATACCCTTGGAAATGTTGAAATGTTTTATAAGCAAGCACATCCAGTTCCTGGGCAGCTCCAACTTGCTTGGCTCTCATTTGCCCGACGGCTCAGCTGCAATGCTGCCAAGGAAAACAGTCATTGAAAGTCACACAGGTAAGGTGTGGTGTCACAAATCAGTCACCCCCTGCTTCTTGCCACAGGGACAAATTGATGACATTGCAGGAGACACAGATATCCTCATCTCTGAGTGGAAGACTGATGTGGCTCCACTCCCTCCATATGAAGCAGTAAGCGAGGACAATGCTCAGAGCCGACCTCTGGGTGGTTCCCAGAATGTGGGGTGACCCAGCTGCATACACGAGCCTGTCACACCACCACAGGCTCCCTGTCACCAGCACTCATCTGGGCGGCACAACCTTCTCAGAGTGGACTGGGCTGTTCTCATCATACTGCATGCACTCATTTTCTTTTGCTGCTGTAGCAAATTACACAGACTTGGTGGCTTCAAATGACACCAATTTATTCAGAAGTCCAAAATCAGTTTCATGAAGCGAAAGTAGAAGTGTTGGCAGGGCTGGCCTCCTCTGAAGGCCCCAGGGGAGAATCGCTTTGCCCTTTCAGCTTCTAGCAGTCACCCGGATTCCTGGACTTGTGACCCCTTCCTCTGCCTTCACACTGTCCCTCCAGTCTCTGTTACCATCATCACAGTCCCTACTCCTGTTCTGCGGTCAGATCTCCCCCGCCTCCTCACAAGGACACTTGTGAGGACACTGGGCCCACCTGGGTAATCAGGAGCATCTCCGCATCTCAAAACCCTCAACTTCATCACATCTGCAAAGTCTCTTTGGCCATATAAGGTGACATGTACAGATTCTGGGGATGAGGACATGGATATCTTTAGGGGCTGTACTCAGCCTTGCATGCTGGGCCAGGGTGTGCAGTCACCATTGATGAAAGCTCAGTTTATCACTCGCCATTCCGAAAACACGTAAAGCCAGGGGAGGGCTGGGGGAGATCCTCCTTCACTGGGGCTTGCAGGGACCATGCAACCATCTTGGGTGGAAATAGGTCTTTCAAGGCTGTTGCTGCTACTCTTGCAAAACACACACACGCATGCACACATGCATGCACACTCACACATGCACGCACACACACATGCACACATGCTCATACACACACTCATGGACACACACACTCACATGCACACTCACACTCACACACGTGCCACACTCACACTCAAATGCAAATGAACTAACACACACATGCACACTCCACATGCTCACACACTCAAATGCACTCACATTCACATGCACATACACTCACACACTCATGCACACACACTTTCACACACATTCATGCACTCACACTCACACACATTCACATGCACACATACAGACATCAATGCACACTCACACTTACATGCACACACGTGCACTCACACACATGCACACACTCACACACACGCACACACACATAGACACACCCTCTCACACACATGCACACACTCACATGCACACACTCACACGCACACACTCACATGGACACACACCCTCTCACACACACATGGACACACATGGACTCACACACACACGCACACACTCACACACGCACACACTCACACACTCACATGGACACACACCCTCTCACACACACGGACACACATGCACTCACACACACTCACACACTCACACGCACACACACACTCACATGGACACACACCCTCTCACACACACTTACATGCACACACACATGCACACTTTCTTATCTCTAGTAAGTCTGTCTCGCTGGTTACATTTCATGCCAGTTTATTTTCTCCAGTAAAAACCCCAGGCTCTGTCACTAGGGCTGGTCTGATTCGAAGGCCTTCACCAACCTCAGTGCCATGTAGAAGGGAGAGCACTGGGAATGACAGCAGGCACTGGATTGTAGCCCTGTTTCTGCCATTCATAGTTTAACCTTGGCTAAGCCACTTCATTTCTCCAGGCTCAGATTCAATGCCCCAGTATGAGTTGGTCTAGAGCTGGATTTCCCCAGAATGTGGGGTATAGCATAACAGCTGCTCCTTGGAAAGAAAGGGTATCTTGACCAAATACACTGGGACACTGTTTCAGCGTGTATATACCTCCATCCCTCTTGGAGAGTCATAATGCACATAAACTTGACAAAGGCTCTGAGAAGTCCTACGTAAATGCAGTTGGGTAACTCTTTAACCTAGTATTTTGTAAACGTTTAAAAATCACAGAACACCCTCACTTGTTTTTATCTTTTTAAATACTGAAGAGCAGACTTTGAGAAATGCTCATCATGGTGGTCTCTAAGGAAATCAGGATTCCTGCCCCATTACCTTGAGGGTGACTTTTGAAATTGAGATGTTTTGCCAACAAGCTGACCCCTGAGAAAGGCAGAAAATGTCCCATGTTGCCTTACCTGGCCTCTTGGAGGCCTTGTTCATCATCATTAATCTTAAGGGGTGCCAGGCTTGCCAGCTGGAATCCATGAGCCAGCCCTGATAGTGAGACACCCACATTATAGAGGCCCTTCTCCCTGCCATCCTCCCTTAAAAACTCATTTTCATTCCCCAAGGATTTCTTCATTGTCTTCTAGGAGTTTAGGCCTGGGGATGGGGACAACAGAAAGACCTTGAGAAACTTAATGTTTCTGTTGAGGAAATGACCATCTCCCCACAAGCCAGGGAAAGGAAAAGGAACAAGCAGGCACTGAGCCTTGGCCAGGAGAGGGCTGTGCTCCCTTCATTTTAGTTGAGCCTTGTGAACATCTTCTAAGGTAAAGGTTACTCTTCCCTTTAGAAGACAGAAGCCCAAGGCAGAGAGAAGTTAAGTCACTTGTCCAAGGCCACTTGCTTAATTTGTGGCAGAATCAGGATTCAGCATTACTCAGGTGAGGTATAAGAAGGCATGGCACATACAAGTAGAGAGGGCCAGACCCAGGGGAAGAAGGAAGGTGCACACCAGGCTGGAGGAATCTGGGGTTGTGGGGAGAGCCATGGCTGGGAGACAAGATAACATCCAAGTTCAAGTCCTGGGTCTGTGCTGTTAGCCTTTCTGGTTTTCTCAAGTGAGGAGACTGGAAACGACTCTCTTCTAGCTGTGACGTTAATGAATTCACTTCTAGTTAGGGGGTGAGACTTGAGCAGGTCTGGGAAAGAGATTAGAAGGCAGAGGCAAGCAGTGACAAAAACCAGAACGTGAAGAAAAGCTTGTGTGCACCCAGAAAAATATTCATTCAGTGCTATCTGGCAGACACCATGCTTGGACCTGTGGGTATCACAGTGAACAAAACAGAGCCAAGCCCTGATCTTCATGAAGGTTACACACTTGAGGGGAGACACACGAAAAAATGAAAATTTTAGAAGGTGATGAGTGTCAAGGAAAAAAATAATGCAAAGGAAAAGGAACCAGGAGTGGGGTTCTATCCTAGATAGGATGGTCAGGGAAGGCCTCCAGTGAAGGTGATATGTGAGCAGAAACTTAAAGATGACTGAGAAGTGGATGGGGTAGATTCTGGAGTATTCTGAGCAGAGGAGTAGCCTGTGTGTAGGTGCTGAGGTGCGTAGATGCTGTGGCTGCCATCTTCAGGGAGGGACAAGGAGGAGAGTGAAGAGATGAGGCTAGGAATGTTGACCTCTTTCAGGTGAGGGAGGAGGAGAGTGAAGAGATGAGGCTGGGGATGTTGACCTCTTTCAGGTGAGGGAGGAGGAGAGTGAAGAGATGAGGCTGGGGATGTTGACCTCTTTCAGGTGAGGGAGGAGGAGAGTGAAGAGATGAGGCTGGGGATGTTGACCTCTTTCAGGTGAGGGAGGAGGAGAGTGAAGAGATGAGGCTGGGAATGTTGAGCTCTTTCAGGTGAGGGAGGAGGAGAGCGAAGCGATGAGGCTGGGAATGTTGACCTCTTTCAGTATGCAAAAACTTGGGGAGAAAAGTTCAGTGGTACAGGCATTCTATTTGTTGGATAAAAATATTAGAAATTTTAAAATAAAATGTTTTGTGACTTAGTCCAAAATTCTAGAGGACACGGGCCTTTGTCCTTGGTTAGACTCTGTGTCCAAGAAACAAATAGCATCCCAAGAATCAACTCTCCCTCTCCCTGGGGACCTAGGTACCACATCTCTGTTCTGCTCTCTCAAGGATATCCAAGGCTCTGCTCACGACTGAAGCATGCACAGACAATGGTTGGTAACATTTGTCACATTTTTACGTTGCTTTCCATGACTTTCGTCAACATGAAAGTGGAAACCAGACTCTCTACCATCGCATGAGTTGGGTTGTAAAAGTCATGGGTTTCTTGTTCTTTAGAATGGCTTTTCCTAGCAGTGGACTCCTCTGACTTTACAACCAATGGTGTGCTCCTGATTCAATCACTTAAATCACTCTGGGTGTTGGTTTATTGGTCTGTCCGGTGGGTGGGTGTAGACTAGATGATTAGTAAAGTTCCTTTATTAAATAGATCTGAAAACCCCTGTTGTACCCTCTCTAGCAAACAACATTCCTTCATTCGGTGTCTGTCTTCTCAGAGGTCAAACTAGTAATTATCCATCCCTTTTGCCTGTGTGTACGACATGCATAATTCATAGGTAGCCTTGCAAAATGGAAACGGAATGTCCATTCCCCAGTCCCCACATGACTAGTGCTCATGCACCAGAAAGTTTACCAGGGACAAATTCTGTTTTTCTTCCACCACCAGCCCCTCTCATTTCTACCAGCCCCCAAGGCGTCTATATAATAATCAATTGCAAGACTATTTATCACCTGTTTATACAATGTTAGCTCTTGTAGTTCCATAGCCTCATGTGACAGCTAAGGAAACTGAGGCTCAGAGAGGTCGCTGACTTTCCCAAAGCCACACAGACATGCCATGGGGCGGGAACGAAACTGCAGTTTCTGAACACGAGCTGAGATTCCTTCCCCAACCTCTTGTTGCCTCTATTTTGCCAAGTGCTAACTGTGCCCTGCAAATTATAAGATGTCTAAAAATACGTTTTGAGGATGATGATGGAGAACTCTGAAAAGAAGTTTTTTTGTTTTGTTTTTAAATACGCCCTCATAGATCCAATGCAGTTGAAACAGCGATCAAAGCCAATTTCCCTAGAAACACCAGATCGAAAACACGTGGTGAGGCTCTGATCTGTAGTGCTTCATCGTAAACAATACATTTTACGATCCCTGAAAAATAAAGAAAAAGGAAAGACTCAAAAGAACATTCTGGGCCTGTCACGGTTGTTTTTCATCCCTTTCATCACTAGATGTCCCCTTGGTTAGCAAACCCCATCTGGAGGGCTGTGTCCCTGCACATCCTTCCTGGAGGGCAGGTGCGGGGAAGAGTCCTCCGCAGTGGGAAGCTTCCTGCCCGGTGGGCCGGGCAGGGGCGGGGCTTCCTGAAGGGGCGGGGCTTGTGTGCTGGCAGAGCCGCTCGTCTGACACAGAGGAAGAGCCATCCTTGAGCTAAGAGGACTGGCTGTAATTAGCATGGAGAGATTAAATATGAAAGGAACACTGTCAAAAACCCATTTCCACCACAGGAAATGAGCGTGGCCTAGAATAGATGCAGAGCATGATTAAACTGCAGGACGGGCTCGGGAGGGAGGGTGAGCCGGCACACATCTCCCGGGGGCCGCCCCAGACCTATGCTTGGGACCACTGCTGAGTCAGATCCATGGAGGCGGTTCTCTGCAGATGATGCGGAGAAACAGGATGCTAGGCGTCTTTGTGAGTAGGCTCCTACTGTAACGATCCAAAGCCATTTTCAATACTTAATGTCTGGTTTCTAGGGCCCCATGGGAGCCACAGCTCTGGGTACCCCCACTACTAGGCCACACTTAATCATCAGTCTGTTGTCTGGATTCCTGCCCTTTAGGAACTCAGGGTCTAGTGGGAGGCACTCACACTCGTGGAGAAATAAAACCCTGTGCAAGGGCTTTCAGAGCTGTGGCTGCTGGGGGAGAGAGATGTGGCTGTGTTGGGGAAACTTTCCTGGAGGGCCTCGAAGGATGAGTGAGCCTGCCAGCTGGATAAAGGGAGGCATGCTAGCATCGGGCACAGAGTGCGAAGGGTGCCGCATGCACGCCTCGGAGAGCGGCTGGAGGGCTGGCAGCCGGGAGGCTGGTGGGAGAAGAGCTGCACAGTTAGCCTGCAGGTCAGACACTGAGGGCTGCAGGGTTTGAATGGATCCTTTGATAGCCTTAAACAGACTGGTCTCAGGAAGGCAACCCTGGGGCAGAGTGAAGGGCAGGAGAGGTGGAGGCTGGAGGCAAGGAGGCCTGTTGGTGGAGGGCTGCAGTAAGCTCAGGGAGGAGGTGGAAGCCTCAGAGACAGTCGGGCAGGACGCCCAAGTGGTATTTCTGACCCAGTGTCTATGGGTTTTGGGACCAGCTGGCTGGGGATGGAGGAGGACAGGGAGGAGTGATGATCTCAGCTCGCCAGTTTGGAAGACTGCACGGGTGCTTCTGAGGAAGCTGAGAGTTCCGTGTTGAGGCTTGTGGCCTGGAGGCACACGTGGAAAATTTAGTAGGGATGTCCAGGTTGCTGGAAATGGAGGGGTGGAGCTCAGTCCAACTTGGCGAGAGATTTGTGGATTTTTGGAGGCCGGGGAGTGGCTGAAGCTCTCGAGACAGGTGAAGGTGGCCAGATCACTCAGAGCTTTTAAAGGCTGTGTGAGCTATTTAAAGTCTGAGCTGCCCACCAGATCCTCACACCTCTTTGCAAGTGTAATGAGTGACAGTGACAAGGGTTGAGGTCCAGCTTCTTTTCCCCGCCATAAAGATCCTGCTTCCAGTGCTGACTGAGCCATCCAGGGTCCCACAGAGGCCAAGTCCTGGCAGTAAAGAATGTGGAGACCCATACGGGCAGCGGGCAGACAGCCCGAGAAGGCCAGAGGCGGATGCCAGGTGTGTGCAGATGTTACCTGGAGCACTGACATCAAACCTGTAAAGGGGTCCAAGGTCAGGATTCCTGTTCTCGGGGAGGGTGTAGGGAGCAGGGCAGGAGCTCGGGAGCAGGGGAGGAGGACTGAGGCAGATACTCCAGCATGGGGAGCAAAACAGGACTCTGTTTCCTGGTACTGGGGTATGAGGCAGAAGGCCCAGTGTTCAGAGTAAGGTTAGGGAGAGTCAGAGTAGCCCTGCAGCTGGCTCACTGGATGCTGGCTGCCAAGTTACTTATTGGTCCTTCCATTTCTCCTGCAGTGGGAGGCTAGATTTAGAGTTTTAGACTTGCACTGTCCAATATGATAGCTGCTAGCCCCATCTGGATATTTATTTATTCATTTTTTTAGAGACAGGGTCTCGCTCTGTTGCCCAGGTTGGAGTGTAGTAGTATGGTCATAACTCACTGCTGTCTCAACATTTCAGGCTGAAGTGATCCTCCTGCCTCGGCCTCCTGAGTAGCTGGGAGTACAGCATGTACCACCACACCCAGTTAATTTTTAAATTATTTTTTAGAGATGGGGCTATTGTTATGTTCCCCAGGTTGGTCTCACATTCTTGGCCTCAAGCAATCCTCCTGCCTCAGCCTTTTAAAGTGCTGGGATTACAGGCTATGAACCACTGTGCCCTATTTCATGTGGCTATTTAAATCTATTTATTTACTTATTTAGAGACTGTGTCTCACTCTGTCACCCAAGCTGGAGTGCAGTGGCACGATCTCGGCTCACTGCAACTTCTGCTTCCCAGGTTCAAGCGATTCTCCTGTCTCAACCTCCTGAGTAGCTGGGATTACAGGTGTATGCCACCATGACTGGCTAATTTTTGTAATTTTACTAGAGATGGGGTTTCACCATGTTGGCCAGGCTGGTCTCTAGCTCCTGACCTCAAGTGATCTCCCAGCCTCAGCCTCCCAAAGTGCTGGCATTACAGGCATAAGTCACTGCGCTTGGCCTTAAATTTAATTTTTAATTAACAAAACTTAAAAGAAATTAAATTCAGGTTCTCATTTGTACTAACTACATTTCCAGTACTCAGTAGCGACTTGTGGCTAGTGTATGGGACAGCGCAGATGCAGAACAGTTCCCGCCATGGCAGGAAGTTCAGTTGTATCGCGCTGGGCAGTGCTGAGCTCTGGCCTTCGGAGTGGAGTGATGGGAGTCACTGGGGCAGGATATTCCTGACACTTCAGAGGTCAGGAAGCAGAGAGGTCCTATAGTCAGCTGTGTTTTGTGGTGGGATGTAAGAGGCAGCAACAGTACTGCCGTCCCTCGCCTCTGCCTAACACTTGTGGTTGCTCTCTTCCATGTGCCAGGATTCCTGAAAGCCTCATGGACACTCCTTTAAAGCACTTCCTCCAAAGAAGGCCTTGTAAAAATACACACGTGATTTTAAAGTGTTCATGCACTTGGATCCGATGATTCTACTTCTGGAAATGTATCCAAAGGATATACTCATAGATATTCAAATAGAGATCCGTAAAAGGGATATTCTACATTACATTATGATTTTTCTCGGGTCAGATTTAGGTGGGGTATGCTTTACATACAATAAAATGGATCCTTATACGGTAGACAGCTGGATGAATTTTGCCAAATGTATATAGTCGTATAACCACCCCCATAATAGAAAAACTTCCCATCATTCCAAAAAGTTCACCCATGCTACCCTTTGTGGTCAGTCCCCTCCTGCAATCCCTAGCCCCTGGCAGCGCTGATCCACTTTGCAGCTTGTAGTTTTGTCTTTTGCGAACGTCACACAGATGGAATTACAGATGTGGCCATCTGCACCTGGCTTCTGCCACTTAGCAAATGTTTTTCGATGCATCCATGGTATTGCATTCACAGGTGGTTTGTTCCTTTTTTGGTGAGTAGTATTCCAGTGTGTTGTCATGGGTTTGTTGACCCGTTGTCCTATCGGTGGGCCTTTGGGATGTTTCTGGTGTCTGGCAATCAGGAATAAAGCAGCTAAAACATTCATGGGCAGGTCTGTGTGGACCACGGGGTGCAGACCTGCAAATGAATGTTGCTCTGCACATGAATGGTTCCAGGAGTCGAATCATTTATATACAGAAGTGAGGGAGGGCAGTACTGTTGCTGCCTCTTACATCCCACCACAAAGCATGAGTGACTGTGGAACCACCCTGGTCAATCCAGCAGGCAAGGGCAGGGGCAGAGCCACCAGACACACAACTCAGTAGACTGTGGGTAAGGAAGCCCCTCAGGACAGCTGGGAATGGAGCGGGCCCCAGAACACAACAGACGTCCCAATATAATACAGAAATGTATAAACGCTCGTTGATCAATGGGTGCAAATATGTAGTCAGATAGAAGAAATGAGACATAGCACTCGATAGATCCGTAGAGTGACCATACTTGATAATAATCTATTGCACAACTTGAAATAGCTAGAAGAGAATAATTCAAATGTTCCCAGCATAAAGGAAAGATAAATATTTAAGGTGACAGATACCCCAATTCCCTGACTTGACCTTTATACAATATAGCAATGTATCAAAATATCACATATGCCCTGAAAATATGTACGGCTCTTATGTAACACTAAAAAAGATTAAAAGAAGATTTAAAAAATGTTTTAAACTGGGAGCTTTTTATAATGGGCACCTGCTACTTTTCAAATGGGAGACAGGAGCAGTAGAACATTACATTGCACAAGAAAAAACCCATTTTCTGAGAAAGATAAGAACATTCTGGCGAGTACTGGCTGAAGATATAAGCACTCGTGACTCCATTCATGTTGGCTGTCTCCCAGGACCAGAGGGCAAGGCTACGAGAAGGGCCCAGGGACCTCGGTCTGTGGAAGGTTAGAGACAGAAAGAGGCCGAGAACACTAGGACCTCGGGGAGGGCGGAGCTTGGGGAGGGCTGAGAGCATGAATTCACTTCTTATGTTCTTTCTTGTTTTTTGCATTATAAATATATTTTGCTATCCATGAATATAGCACTTGACATTTACTAAATATTTATAATTCTTCTCATTTTTACTTCCTGAGGCAATTTTAATTGAAAAAAATGTTTCCAGCTTTACTGAGGTATGATTAACAAATACAAATCATGTATATTTAGTGTACACAATGTGATCTTTTGATATATATATATACACACACACATTGTGAATATATACACAATCAAACTAATTAACATATCCATTACCTCCCATAGTTACCGTGTGTGTGTGTGTGTGTGTGTGTGTGTGTGTATGTGTGCTGAGAACACTTCAGCTGGTGACTGTAGCTAATAATAATGCATGTGTACTTTAAATTTGCCAAGAGAGCAGATCAAAAGCGTTCCTCTGTTGCCCAGGACAGCCCTGAAGGAGGTTTGAAAGCACGGCCATGCTGCTCCTAACAGAGCCCACATCCATTAGATTTGCTGTTTTAAAACTTTTGTTTCCGTAGAGATTTATACCTCACACCTCCCCTAAACACACAGAATTCTTTCAGCTGAAAACTTGAACGATTTACCTAACTCTACTGTTTTCATTCTTATCATTGTATAGACATAATTTTCTCCAGTTGTAATCAACAAGTATGTGTCTTTGTTCTTTTTATTCATACACACTTTTCCACATATTGACAGAGTCCACATATGTATTATTTTATTTTATTTTATTTTAATTTGTTTTGGAGACAGAGTCTCAATGTCACCCAGCCTGGAGTGCAGTGGTGCGATCTCAGCCCACTGCAACCTCCACCTCCCAAGCTCAGGTGATCCTCCTGCCTCAGCCTCCCTCCCAAGTAGCTGGGACCACAGGTATGTGCCACCACGCTCGGCTAATTTTTTGTATTTTTGGTAGAGATAGGGTTTCCTCATGTTGGCCAGGCTGGTCTCAAACTCCTGAGCTCAAGGGATCTTCCTGCCTCGGCCTCCCAAAGTACTAGGATTACAGGAGTAAGCCACCACACCTGGCCTACATATTATTTCAATGACTTTATATTCTTTTGCAGGTATGTCTGGGCATTTGAATTGTTTACAGATATTTTTGCTATTTTGAAAAACATAACTTCAAACTATGCATCTGACAAAGGTCTAAATTAGCATCTATAAGGAACTTAAATTCACACACACAGAAAACAACCCCATTAAAAAGTGGGCAAAGGATATGAACAGACACTTCTCAAAAGAAGACATACATGCAGGCCACAAGCATATGAAAGAAAGCTCAACATCACTGACCATTAGAGAAATGCAAATCAAAACCACAATTAGATACCATCTCACACCAGTCAGGATGGCTATTATTAAAAAGTCAAAAAATAACAGATGCTGGTGATGTTGCGGAGAAAAGAGAACACTTATACACTATTGGTGGAAGTGTAAATTAGTTCAATCATTGTGGAAAGCAGTATGGCAAGTCCTCGAAAAGCTAAAAGCAGAACTACCACTCCACACAGCAGTCCCGTTACTGGGTATATACCCAGAGCAATAGAAATCACTCTACCGTAAAAACACATGCATGCAAATGTTCACTGCAGCACTTTTCACAATAGCAAAGACATGGAATCAACCTAAATGCCCATCAATGGCAGATTGGATAAAGAAAATATGGTACATATACATCACGGAATATTATGCAGCCATAAGAAAGAATGAGATCATGTCTTTTGCGGGAGCGTGGAAGGAGCTGGAGGCTATCATCCTTAGCAAACTAACACAGGAACAGAATATGAAATCCCACATGTTCTCACTTATAAGTGGGAGCTAAATGATAAGAACTTGTGAACACACAGAAGGAAACAACAGACAATGGGATCTACTCGAAGGGGGAGGGTGGGAAGAGGGAGAGGAGAAGAAAAGATCACTACTGGGTCCTGGACTTAATACCTGGGTGATGAAATGATCTGTACAATAAACCCCCATGACATGTGTTTACCTGTGTAACAAACCTTCACATGTACCCCCAAATCTAAAATAAAAATTAAAGAAAAAAGAAAAGCATAACTTGAAATAATTTAAAAATAGGGCTTGTTCCCATTTTGGTCAATAATAACTATACTCTTTTAAAAACCACTTTAATATGTTTTGTTTCCTATTAAAAAACTAAAATATGTTTATTGTAGACGTTTTAGAAAATACAAGCTACTTGGCATGTTTACTTACAGTCTACTTGGGGCACAATTGCAGATTCATTTTTTATTTTTTGGTTAACTGTCTGAGACTTGGCTCATTGCAGTTGGGGTCTCCTTTTCCCTCAATTGCATGATAATCCCAGGGCTCGAGAAGCGTGGGTTCTTATTCCAAATGCAAGACACAGAGGATGCCGGGGAGCCTAAGCAGCCCTCTGGGGCCCGGCTGACCTGCTGTCCTGCCCTCTTACTAGCTACAGTGTTGTTGTAGAAAATTGGTGTGGATCAGCCAGGCACGGTGGCTCACTCCTGTAATCCCAGCACTTTGGGAGGCCAAGGCAGGTGGATTATGAGGTCAGGAGTTCGAGACCAGCCTGGCTAACACAGTGAAACCCTGTCTCTACTAAAAATGTAAAAAGTTAGCTGGGCATAGTGGTAGGCACCTGTAGTCCCAGCTACTTGGGAGGCTGAGGCAGGAGAACCATTTGAACCTGGGAGGAGGATGTTGCAGTAAGCTGAGATCACGGCACTGCACTCCAGCCTGGGCAACAGAGCGATACTCTGTCTCAAAAACAAAAAAAAGAAAGAAAGAAAAAAAGAAAAGAAAATTGGTGTGGATCCTAGCGCAGAAGTTTCCCACACAAGTCACGGTGATGCCAGCAATCAGGCTTCCAAAGCTACTAGTGTTTTGTTTTTGTTTTTAAGCCTACACTCATAACTTAGCCACCGCTTCCAAAAGAGGGTGCCAAGTCTAGCAGGGAGCCCTGGCTGAGCCACGCCCTGGGTGAGTGTCAGCCATGCCCTGTGGAACTACTGGATCCATTTGCTGAGCTCTCATCACCTGTCTTGACTTCTTCCCCAATGAATTGGAACCATCGCAATTTGTCTAGAATGTTTTAATAAGGTCGATCTTTAAAAGGGAGCCTCAGTGATTCCCTATACAGATTTTCCTTTCCTCCCACCCCACACCCCAGAGCTTTATACACCTGAAAACTCACTACTTCCCAGTTATTCAGCTACAGTTGGATAAGAGACCCAATTCTAACCCATGAGACATCGGATAAAGTTTTCTGTGATTTCTGGGGAAGTTTTTCTTTCTTGATAAAGAGACAGAAGATGCCATCATTCTTTCTTTTTCCCTTTTCCTCTTTAAAGGTAGACGTGGTGTCTGGAGCTACGGTAGCCATTACGTGATCACGAGGTGACAGACACGAACCAACAGGGAGAGATTTTCACAGAGCCACTGGACCAATATCAATAACCACCTACACCTGACTATGTGTTAGGCTGAAGCCACTCTGAGTTGGGGTTTCTGTTAATTGCGGCTGAACCCATTCTTAACTAATATTTTAATTATTAGAAACGAATTTGCAATAAAAAAACTTGTGGTTAAATCTTTGTACATAGTTTTATAGAATATATTCACGTAAGAAAAAGTGGGGGATGTTCTGGGCTGAATTGTGTTCCCTCTGACACACAAATTTATCTGTGGAAGTCCCAACCCCCAGTACTTCAGAATGTAGCCATATTTGGAGATAAATTCTTTAAAGAGTTTATTTAGCTAAGTTAAAATGAGGCCTTTAGGGTGGCCCTAATCTAATATGGCTGGTGTCCTTTTAAGAAGAGGAAATTTAGACACAAATGTGCAACCACACACAGAGGAAAGACTATGTAAAGACACAGCAAGAAGGTGGGCTGGGTGCAGTGGCTCATGCCTGTAATCCTAGCACTTTGAGAGGCCAAGTTGGGTGGATCATTTGAGGTCAGAAGTTCAAGACCAGCCTAGACAACATGGTGAAACCCTGCCTCTACTAAAAATACAAAAATTAGCCAGGCGCAGTGGCACATGCCTGTAATCCCAGCTACTCGGGAGGCTGAGGCAGGAGAATCGCTTGAACCCAGGAGGTGGAGGTTGCAGTGATCAGAGATTATACCACTGCACTCTAGCCTGGGTGACAGAGGGCAATTCCGTTTCAAAAAAAAAAAAAAAGAAGAAGAAGAAGAAGGTGGCCATCCACAAGCCAAGGAAAAGGGCCTTAGAGGAAATCAACATCACAGATGCCTTTTTTTTTCCCTTTTTAAAAGACAGGTTCTGCCATCATACCTGACTGCAGCCTTGAACTCCTGGGCTCAAGTGATCCTCCCACCTCAGCCTCCACACCTGGCTAATTTATTTATTTTTATTTTCAAGATGGGGGTCTCACTATGTTGCCCAAGCTGGTCTCAAACTTTTGGCCTCAAGTAATCCTTCTGCCTCAGCCTCCCAAAGTACTGGGATTACAGACATGGGCCATCGCACCTGACTGCTGATACCTTGATCTCAGACTTCTTGCCTCCAGAACTGTGAGAAAATATCTGTTGTTTAAGCCACCCAACCTGTGGTACTGTGTGTCTGTGGCAGCCCTAGCAAACTAATACATGAGACCAAAAATATTTTTCTTATCTGTAAAATAAGAATAATCATATTATAAAGTACTTAGGTGGATTAAATGAAATAATGTATTAAAACATACAGATTGATATGTGATACACAGTAAACGTTTAGTAAATGATGGCTATTACTACCAGGAAACCTGAAGACAAAATTTTCTGGACAGCTCTTTCCTGTCAACTCTTCCAAAAATTAACTGAGGACCTTACTGGCCTCAAAAAGGACCACTGAGTTCAAGAGAGCGGTGACGTTATTGCAGCAGAGTGGGTGCTGTGTGGTAATCAGACCATTTTCTTCTCCTGTGGAGGTGCAGGAAGGATGCCTTTCCCAGCTTCTCCCTCACGCCTCTCGGTGGTACCATGTGGGTCACTCTTGCTGTGGAAGGTGAGCAGGAGTGCCACGCCACTTCCAGTTTGTGGCTGTGTAGATCAGGCACCTTCTCTGTCTTCTCTCTCTTTTCCACTCACATGACTAGAGGGAAGGAACTCCAAGATGGTGAAATACCAAGAAGGAAGGAGACCCTGAATGATTTTGGAGGAGGACCAGGCAGGAAAGCCACCTGACCCACAAGAGCAAGACAGAATCCTAGGCTGAGTGAAGCCATTGAGATTTCAGGATTTATCCTTAGGGCAGTTGCCTTTGCTTACTCTGACTAATACATTCAATGTTCTCCTCTATGAACTCCTGACAATACAACACTATTTCCAGTGAGTGAAGTGTTCAGAGAGAAGGGTGTGTGCAAATTCATGGCTAAGTTTCAATCAATCCGCTATAAATTGATATGGTTTGGGGCAAATGGGAAGAAGAGGATATTCAGTTGTTGTTATTTATATTGTCATGTATAGGATGCTGTTATTTCCTTGATTCTCTCTTCTTTGGGCAAAGAGCAGACTCATACTCAGAGGATAAGTCTGAGAGCAGATAGGAAATGAATTCCACAGTCATCTTTATATATTGGTCTCTTTTCAGGCCCAGCCCAGTGAGATTGGATCTGATTGTTTGTTGGTGTCATTTATGTCTGCAATAGATGTCTAAGAATACAGCATAAAGATGCCCAGGTGCTCAGCCCTGCACTGAGCTGGAGAGAGGGCCGAAGGCTTACCTTTCATGCATTGCCATGGACCTCGCAGCCACGGAGCAGGGAGGGGTTGACAACACCAGGAGCTCAGCCTGACACCTTCCACTCATGTCTCCTTGGACCCTTCCTGTGCTAATTATGATCCTTCTTGGAAATAAAAAACCAAACATTTGATGGCAGATACAGACAATGAAATCCTATCCAGCTTTAAAAAGGAAGAGTATTCTCACACATGCTACAGTGTGGATGAGCCTTGAGGACATCATGCTGAGTGAAATCAGCCAGCTACAAAGGACAAACACTGTGGGATTCCACTCATATGAGGTTCCTAGAAGAGCTGAATTCATAAATACCAAAAACAGAAAGGTGGTTGCCAGGGGCTGGAGGGAGGGAGGGAGGGAGGGAGGGAGGAATGGGGAGTGAATGGGACAGAGTTTCAGTTGGGAAGATGAGAAAGCTCTGGGGATGGGTGGTGGTGATGGTAGCACAACAATGTGAACATACTTAACACCACCAAACTGCTCATTTAATAATGGTTAAAATGGTAAAATTTGTGTTAAGTATTGTTTACCATAATAAAACTTAAAAAAAAAAACAAAACCAGAAACCATTTGCACAGCCTCTCTTACATGGAGGAAGGTGACCTGGAGGGGTAGAGAAACATGGTTAGTGTCATGGGAACACAAAGGAATGTGACAATCCTGTCTTTGAGGAGCTTGCAGGTTGTGGGGGGAGAGATGGATTTGACAACAATAATTGGGAAAATGCAGATGCAGAAGGAGGGAAAGAGGGAGGCTGAATCAGAACTCAGAGGAAGGAGCTGTTGGAGTCTGAGGGCTCAGGGCAGGAATTCTGGAAGAAGAAATGCTTGCCTGGGGCTCCCAAGGTGTATTAGTCTGTTTTTAAACTGCTGATAAAGACATACCTGAAGCTGGGAAATTTACAAAAGAAAGAGGTTTATTGGACATACAGTTCCATGTGGCCTGGGAGGCCTCACAATCATGGTGGAAGGTGAAAGGCACGTCTCACATGGTGGCAGACAAGAGAAGAGAACTTGTGCAGGGAAACTCTCCTTTTAAAAATCATCATATCCTGTGAGAGTTATTCACTATCATGAGAACAGCACAGGAAAGACCAGTCCCTATGATTCAATTACCTCCCACTGGGTGCCTCGCACAACACGTGTGAATCCACAATTAGATTTTGGTGAGGACACAGCCAAACCATATCACATGGTCTGGTGGGATCTTGCATTTTGAAGAGTGGGAGTGAGGCTGAGCTCAGCGAGGTGGGGACCAGAGCAAAACACTTGCTGGGGGCTGGTGCTGAGGCCCTGGAGGAGCAACCTAGGCAGAAGAGTGGGTTCCTAAGGAGAGCGGAGGGAGGTTGTGGTGGCTACAGACCATGGGAGTCCTGACTTTTTTTTTTTTTTAATGAACTTTCTAATTTTGGAATAAATTTAGAATTACCAAAAAGTTGCAAAGATAATACAGAGAGGTCCCATATACCCCTCAGCCAGTTTCCCCTAGGGTTAAGATCTTACATTACTGTGGTACATTTGTACAACTAATGAGCCAATATTGATATATTCTTAACTAAAGTCCTCACGTTATTAAGATTTCATTAGTTTTCCCTACTGTCCTTTTGCAGGATTCCATCCAGAATACCCAACTTGCACCCATCCAAAGTCGCAAAGCTATCCCAGTACACTCCACAATCAGTTTCCCTTATTATTATGAATATCTCATATTAGGGTGGTACATTTGTTACAATTAATGAACCAGTACTGATACATTATCATTAATAAAAGTCCATGCTGGATTCAGATCTCATGAAATTTGTACCTAACACCCCTTTTCTGTTCCAGGACCCCACACTGCATTTAGTTGTCACGCCTCCCTCGACTCCCCTTGATGTGACAGCTTGTCAGACTTCCCTTGATTTTGATGACCCAGACAATTTGAGGAGTCCTGATCAGGGATTTTGTAGTACAATCCTTAATTTGGGTTGATTTGATATTTTTCTCATGATATTTTTCCATTCAGCTCTCACAGGGGTTCTGAGTTTTTGAAGAAAGCATTGAGGTCCAGTACCCCACTCCTCACACCGCACATCAGTACCCCGCTCCTCACACCGTACATCGGTTTGCCTTCTAGCTTCTGCGTTATCTTCATCACCTGGCCAGAGGATTGGTTCTCCACTGTAAAGTTATTTTTTCCATTTCCTGCACTCTAGTCTTTGGAGGTAGGCATTGGACGGTTTTGAGTAAAGAACATGACTTGATGAAAGTGGCATTATGGGATGAAAAGTCCCTCCATGGCTGATGTGCTGGGCGGGAACATCTCGACCTGCAATAGCACTGATGCTGGACTACATGCTGCATGCCACAGACTTCACACATATGGCAGCATTTGATCCTCCTGTTGACTCCCAGTTGAAAGATGAGGAAGTGGAGGCATTGGGAGGTTAAATAACCTGTTAAAGGTCATGCAACCAGTGAGTGATCACCCTGGGATCTGAACCTGAGGAGTGTGGCTCCAAATCCATGTTCTCACCATGTCCCTTGGTGACGGATTAGCACAATGAATTCAGACTGTGTGGAGCATCGGGATTTACATTCGAAGTCAGATTTTCCAGTCTCACCTCCAAGATTTGGTGTCAGCAGGTATATGGCAAGACCCAGCCCTTTGTACCTTAGCCAGTTCCCAGGAGACTCATGAGGCCCAGTCTGTACCCAGCAGATTCAAGAGACCCTTTGGAACCTGCTAGTGACCATTTGGGTCATCACCCAGGGAGGCCTGACCCAAGGGACAGTGTGAAAGGTGAGGACGACTGGAGAGGTGCTGCAGGAGGCTGCATGGCCTGGTCATGACTGGCTGTCAGGCAGTGAGGGGCAGACAACACTCAGCCTGGCCACGGAGGGATCGCAGTACCCAAAACAGAGATGCGGGACTCTGAAGGACCATGGAGGACAGACGATGAATGAGGCTTTGAACTTGTAGGAGGCATGGGAGGAAATACTCAGCAAGATGAGGGCAGCACCTGCAGGGTCTCCAGAGACCCAGGGGTGCCAACGATGTCCCAAGTATATGAGCTTTCTATGTGACAACACCACTGTAAAGGGCAGAACATTGGAAAATGCCCCCTATTTAGAGAAGGGGTCATAAAAAGGGGGGCTGCAGGAATGCGGAGCTCAGTTTGCCTCTCCCTCAAAATAAACCCAATTGAACCCCTGAACTTTTACCTTATAGGCAGAACCCCACTGTCAGTGAAAGACAAGATGGGAGCACCAGCCTTGAATGGTGCTCACAGGGACAAGGGGAATTTCCGGAGTCCCATAAAGGATGTCCCTCCACGGCGGTGACATCTAGTGCCTTGAAGGGTCTTGAATCCAGGAGGCTCCACCCTGCCTTGAGTCACTGATGTAGAGAAGCAATGCAGGTAGTTAAGTAGAAGGCAGCCTTGACGCCTGTGGTCTGAAGCCACTTCACAGCCCTGGACTCTGGAATGGGATTTGCAGCAGCCCTGGAAGGGAAGGCCAGGTTCCCAGTTACGGAGTCAGCTCAGTTGTGGGGTCCTCGTGACCCAGAGTCCCAAGTGGCTTTGCTCTAGGGATCATCTCCCTCAGCCTGCACATACCCTGCCCCTGCCAGGCCAAGCCAGTGCCAGGACTTGTTTCTCAGCTGCCTCCTCACCGACCTGGAATAACCTTTCCCCTGTTCCCAGGGCCTGCCCTGCCCAGGAGTGTGGCCACTCCTTGCTTAGGAGGGGGGCACCTCCTCCAGCCCGTGGTTCTGAAAGAGGCCAGCTTGGGTGAGTCCAGGCAGCCTTTGCTTCTGGCAAATTTTGTCATTGACGAAGAGAAAGAAAACCCAACCCATACATTTCGTCTTCTTTTGCTGTAACTGATTTAGGCCAGTTGTAGAATTAAGAGTTTGACAGCCTAGTAGAGGGATGCAGAAAAAGCTTGAATAGATTGTCAGTTGATTTCCTCTAATATTCAGTTTCCACACTGTTAATATCAGCTCCTGTTTTTGGTGGGGAGAGGGGTCATTCTTTCCTTTTACTATCGAGTATCTCAAAAATGCAGAAAATTATGGAGTAATATGGAGAACAGGACTCATGATAAGCAACTGAGTTAAAATTGCTCATTCTGACATATTCGATTCAGATGTTTGAGAAAAGAAATATTACAGGTACCCTTTTGTGCCGCTGTGTTTCTGTCATTCTTCCCCAAAGCCAACTGGTATTTGGAATTCTATTACATCATTTCTGAAATAATTCGTAAGCTTTTAAAAAATACTATTATATTAATGTCCCACCACAACTGTTAACAAGGCCAATATAGCAAATGAATTCCTCCTTCCTTCCTTCTTTCCTTCCTTTCTTCTTTTCCTTCCTTCCTTCCCTTCCTTCCTTCCTGTTTTTCCTTCCTTTCTTCCTGTTTTTCCTTCCTTCCTTTCTTTTTTCCTTCCTTCCTTCCTTTATTCCTTCCTCCTTCCTTTATTCCTTCCTCCTTCCTTCCTTCTTTTCCTTCCTTCCCTTCCTTTCTTTTCCTCTTTCCTTCTTTTCTTTGTTTCTTTTAGAGTGAGAATATTTAAAATCTACTCTCTTAGCAAATTTCAGGTACACAATGCAGTATCATTACCTCTAGTCACCATACTGTACATTAGACTGCCAGAACTCATTCATCTTAGAACTAGTAGTATCAACACTGTGATTCAACTTCAGTGTAAATTTGAAGCCATTAGATTCAAAGGCAGAGAGCAGCAGAAAATTGGTTCTTGTGAACAAACAAGTACGTTTTGAGGATGTGCCCTGAAGTAGAGATGAGCGCCCTGGCACTCATCCTGGCACTCCATCCCGGCACTCCATCCTGGCCAGCATACACTGGCTGCACTCCTGCGGTGTGCTGGACATACAAAGGCAACAAATACGGGCCTGATCTCGGATCTCTTAGTGCTTTGTACCCAGAGGAGATGGCTGTTACTCAAATACATACATCAATGCATGTAATTATATTCCATTACAGATTGAGACATGGCACAGCTCTACAAAAACAAAGCCCTAGCTTAGACTAGAGGCAAAAAAAAGAGTTTAGATTTCTTACCCTTTGGTTGCGACCCAGGACACGTGGCAAACAGAAAACTCAACAGCAGGGCATTTTTAGAATTCGTGAAGCTCCATATTGTAAAGATACTTAACTTTAAAATATCAACATCAATTCAGATTCTTGTCATTTCTCTATCTACAGATAGCATAGGACCTCACACCGGGAATGGAAGCAAATCCTATTTAAGCAACTCACAAACACAGACTTTGAAATAACCCACTATTCTCCAAGCACAGATTCATTCTCCATTTAGGGTCCTGCAACAAGAAGTCACCCGTAACTATTTCTGAAAAGGAAGCAGGCGGCACGTGCCCTGTGGACCAAGAGTTAGTGACTGACAGTGGGAGCGCTGACTGCTATCCAGGTAAAAGCCTACAGCGACGTCCTCTCCTTAAGGTTTTCTGAAAGAATGTAGGTCGCTAGCTGCCATCACAGTTCACTGTTCACAGTGGCTGAAAGAGATCATGCCGTTTTTTGGTGGGTTTTGTTGTTGTTGTTGTTTTTTGTTTTGTTTTGTTTTTTACGGAGTCTCGCTCTGTGGCCCAGGCTGGAGTGAGTGGCGCCATCTTGGCTCCCTGCAAGCTCCGCCTCCCGGGTTCCGGCCATTCTCCTGCCTCAGCCTCCCCAGTAGCTGGGACCACAGGCGCTGCCACCACGCCCGGCTAATTTTTTGTATTTTTAGTAGAGACAGGGCTTCACCATGTTGGTCAGGCTGCTCTCCATCTCCTGACCTTGTGATCCGCCCGCCTCGGCCTCCCAAAGTGCTGGTTTCACAGGCGCGAGCCACTGCGCCCGGCCGCCATTTTTACTGTCATCCATTCATGGTGCGTAGCAGAGAGCAATCCATTCAATTCAACCTGCTAACACCTAGTTTCATTGCCTGAGTATTAAACTTAGTATTTAATGTTAAATTAAATCTGACTCTCAACTATTTCGCTACACTCCAGGTACTCCTCAGCTAAATCCATTGACACAAGTAGAAGGGAATTTAGACTTTAGTTAATCTAGTAGTTACCAAAGTTTTAGATCTCACAGGCTGATAAAATTTTACAAAGAAGAGTTGGGGCCGGGTGAGGTGGCTCACGCCTGTAATCCCAGTACTTTGGGAGGCCAAGGCGGGTGGATCACCCGAGATCAGGAGTTCAAGACCAGCCTGGCCAACATGGTTAAATCCTGTCTCTACAAAAATACAAAAATTAGCTGGGCATGATGGTGGATTCCTGTAATCCCAGCTACTCAGGAGGCTGAGGCAGGAGAATCGCTTGAACCCAGGAAGCAGACGTTGCAGTGAGCTGAGATCGTGCCACTGCACTCCAGCCTGGGTGACAGAGCGAGACTTCGTCTCAAAAAAAAAAAAAAAAAAAAAAAAAGATTTGGAAGAACTGTATTGAGTTGCTAACTTTTTATTCACTCAGATGGAGTAATTAGAACACATATCACCCACTTTGCCACCGTGATAGAATTCACATGCAAAGTGAATTATAACAAAACAGAACTTCTCAGCATTTTAATAGAAATAAATTAGCTTCAGGACACAATTATTCCTTTTTTTGGTTATTGTGGTTTTCTCTTTTCTCCATCAACCTGTGAAAATGAAATCTTTTTCAGTCTAGCACCAGTTCTTGCACTAGAATTTGAGAACCCCTGACTTAAATCAGTGATTTAAATCCCTCTTGTCCTTATTTACAAAGGAGGCTGGCCCTGAGGGACCGCATGTGCTGTGCCATCAAAGTTTCCAGCTCACAGCTGAGGAATAGCCCTGGTTCAGGCCAGGGCTTCTGAACCCACATTCAGTGTGTCTGCCCTCTGCCTTATTGCCATGAGTCTCTGCAGGGCCCAGCAGGGGGCCCCGACCCTCTGATCATGTGATCGGCACCATACTGTCCAGGGAACACTGAAGGAGGATGGCTGAGGGACACAGAAGGAGAAGCAGAGGCCCTGTGCCTCTCTCTGCAGCCCACATGCCCTGGGCTGGATTCTGAGACGGGCTCTTTCTCCTGCCAGCACGCCTTGATCTTCAGGTATCCTTTAGTTGGGCCCATTGATTCTTTCAGACCATTGGGAAATATTTTGTGCACTACTAATGCCTGTAGTGTCCATTCCTCTGCCTCCCTCTCCTCCATAAAGAAGGGGCTCCAGGCGTTGTGGACTTCACTGCCTGTATTTTCAAAGAATTAAATATGACTTCAAAAGTATCCCAGGATGTTCAAGGTTTTGTTGCCAAGTCAGGGTTTAACCTAAAACAAAATAGAGTCACTTGGGAACAGAAAATCAAATACCACATGTTCTCACTTATAAATGGGAGTTAAGCTATGGGTACGCAAAGGCATAGAGAGTGGGTACGATGGACACTGGGTACTTGCAACAGGGGAGGGAGGGATGAAAAATCACCTGTCGGGTACAGTGTACACTATTCCAGGGACGGGTACAGTGTACACTATTCCAGGGACGGGTACAGTGTACACTATTCCAGGGACGGGTACAGTGTACACTATTCCAGGGACGGGTACAGTGTACACTATTCCAGGGACGGGTACAGTGTACACTATTCCAGGGACGGGTACAGTGTACACTATTCCAGGGACGGGTACAGTGTACACTATTCCAGGGACGGGTACAGTGTACACTATTCCAGGGACGGGTACAGTGTACACTATTCCAGGGACGGGTACAGTGTACACTATTCCAGGGACGGGTACAGTGTACACTATTCCAGGGACAGGTACAATGTACACTATTCCAGGGATGGGTGCACTAAAAGCCCAGACTTCACTACTACTCAATTCATCCATGTAACGAAAAACAACTGGTACCCTTAAAGCCCTTGAAATAATAAATTTTAAAAATAAAAGAAAATGAGAGATTCTGTGGTACACAGTGCTAGTGGCATACCACATTTGGGAATTTTGGATTTAAGCAATAGAAAAAGACTCTGGTTTATTCAAGTGGAAAGGGGCTGTATTGGAAAGGGTATTGGGTGTCCTGGTGGAATCGCTGGAGAATGAGGCCACTAGGAGCAGCCATAGCCCAGAACCTCTGTGGCTGCTGCTGGGACCAGCAGCTATTTACAGTGAGGTCCCCAGAGCTTCCAGAACCTCTGCAGCTGCCACACCCATCCTCAGCGCAGAGCCGGCCTCACCCCTGCTACCTCACATCAGCCACTTACAGTCCACAGCCTGGGCTAGGGCTGGGGAGCAGGCAGAGCCTGGGCCACTGCTCACTGTGGGGGTCCAGGCAGGTGGTCTCCAGCACTTTCATCCTGTGCTATACAAGGTAGGCTTTTCCTCCACAGGGCAGGGGGTTCCTGAAATGGACAAATTGAGATTCTGAGCAGCCAAAAAGAACAGCGGATTTGGGGTTTTCTTTCAAATTAACTTCTCTGAAAGTTGAGGAGGTGGAAAATCTCTTTCAGAGTAGTCAACACACTCCTCAGACTTGGGTCCAGATTTGATCGTTGTTCGAACATCTTTTTCTTGCTTTAGAGAATCCTCTCCTAAAAGAGGCTCGGTGCCTATGGATGCCCACCTCAGGGTCACCCACAGGGACTTGCTGGAGTCCCCTTTTCTTGGTGACTGTGTGAATCCCAGAGCTCCGCTGGGGCTGCTGAGATCTAACAGGGGGTCTGGCGTGCCCAGCAGGGTCTGTTCAGGGTTCGTGAACCATCTCAGAGAATTCTCTTGGTGGGATTTCACTGCGGCACATGAAACTGTTCTTTTTCTTTTCTTGTATTTCTTTTTTTTTTTTTGGAGACGGAGTCTCCCTCTGTCGCCCAGGCTGGAGTGCAGTGGCTGGATCTCAACTCACTGCAAGCTCTGCCTCTCGGGTTTATGCCATTCTCCTGCCTCAGCCTCCCGAGTAGCTGGGACTACAGGCGCCCGCCGCCTCGCCCGGCTAGTTTTTTGTATTTTTTTTTTTTAGTAGAGACGGGGTTTCACCGTGTTAGCCAGGATGGTCTCGATCTCCTGACCTCGTGATCCGCCCGTCTCGGCCTCCCAAAGTGCTGGGATTACAGGCTTGAGCCACCGCGCCCGGCCCTTTTCTTGTATTTCAACTCCCTTCAGGCTCGCTATAGTCAAAGTCTTTAAAGTGGAGAATATTAAGCTGTTCAACAGCGTGGGCTTCTCAGGTTTCTGGGCGGGGCCTCCAGCCAGGAAAACTGCCACCTGCGCCTTTCCTAAGGCGGGCACCTCCAGAGAGAGTTGACCCTGGCTCAGACTCCCCAAACTTTCCAGTCAACTGCTCCTGCAGGCTGAAGGCGAGAGAGCAAAGAACCCAAAAGGGCAGGGTGTCTAGCCAGAAGGGAGACAACATTTCTTTGAAGGCAAGTTTCATCTTGCAAATCCGTGCAGATTTTGAGAGTGGACAATGTCTATGTGTAACCGCGACCTGAAGAGCCTGGAGATTTTCTCTGTGGCGGGAGGGCTGCCATTTCAAAGTCGCCAGCAGTTTCTGCACTGGAGGGCGAAGCTCTTAACGCCCTAGAAAGACTTCTTTTGTTTCGAGAAAATGAACCAGGAGGGGTCTTTGGGGACCGTGAATGCGAGGCATACTCATTGTTCTCCTGGGGCCCCCGCACACCCTGAGTGCATTGGAGAGTGCCCGCTGAACTGCACCCTGCAGTTAGGAGACACATTTTGTTCTTCTCCCCACATGTGGCTTTGGCCTGAGCAGGAAAACGTTGTGCTCTTGGGAAATGTTTGTGTGCCTTTTGGTCTAAGCTTGCTCACAGGAGGCCTGCAGCCAATGCTGGACTCTGCCCCCAGATCTGGCCTCTATCTCACCTCACACCGGAGGGAGATGGTGACAAGAACAGTCCAGATGCAGCATGGTGCAACCTGGACTGATTTGTTAAAATTGTGATAAAACGTGCATAAGATAAAAGTCCCCATTTTATTCATTTTTAAATGTACAGTCCTGTGGCCTGATGCACATTCACATTGCTGCACAGCCATCACCACGCCCTATCTCTGAAACGTTTTCATCCTCCTGAATGGAGCTTCCTCTGTACCTGCTAAACCCTAATTTCCCCTCCCCCTCCCCCAGGCCCTGACAGCCACCAATCTATGTCTCTATGAATCTGACAGCCCCACGCACCTCCTAGAAGTGGAGTTGACCGTGTTTGTCCTCCTGGATGGATTCCTGTTTCTTTTTGTAGAGACTGGGTCTTCCTACATTGCCCAGGCGGGCCTCGAATTACTGGGCTCCAGTGATCCTCCCACTTTGGTCTCCCAATGTGCTGGGATGACAGGTGCCAGCCACTGCACCTGGCCTGGATGGATTCTCAATGGCATCTGAGGCAGAATGGACTGGGCTTTGTGAAATGCATCATCAGTTGCTCTATTGACTGACACCGGCCGGCAGAGACCAGATCCCGTGGGTCGGAGTGGCTGTTTCCCTCTGAACAAATAGATGTTTCCACTGTTAGTCATCCTGAAAAGAGTTTAATCCCAGAGTAGAAAAAGAAGGGACTGAGACTGGGGAAAGTAAGGCTTTTCTCTCTGCAGCTTACTTGGCCTTCATTCCTAGGGGTGGAGCTACCTGGAGATTCTCCCTGGTGGGGTGTGGGTGGTGGCGCCTGTGCCCATGGAAGAAAGCCTGCTGCGGGCAGTAGCAATTGTGATGGCAGCCAAGCCCTTTTAGTGCAGGCATCCCTCACTCTGCGTGGTCCTCCAGCTGCCCCAGGGCGCAGCACCACATGCTTGCAAGAGCTCATCATCTCAGCCGAGCTGTGGGGATGGGAGAGGAGGGGGTCCTGGCCACCAGGCTGCGGGTGGGAGGTAGTGGTGGGCATCAGTTGGACCCCCTGGCAGACTGTCATGCAGGTACAGAGGCCGGAGGCAACACAGATAAAAAAGTGAAGCCAAGTGAGATGTCCCGGAGTCCTGTGGGCAGCGTGCTGTTGCGTTCACAGAAGCTCCAGCAAGCAGCCTGGTGTGAGCTCACGACATCATCATTTCCATCTGGAAAGAGAAGGATAATTTACTTTTTAGACACAGATTTCTGCCTAAAGAGGCCAGAGACACTGAATTAAACACATCTGACTTAATATCGTAATCTTTCAAATTATTTTTCCATGAACTAAAGTGACACTCAAGGAAGCCCCTCCCTGCAACCTGCCTCCGCTCACCCCCGCCCCAGCACCCTGGCTGGAGACACAGAGCCCTGGGTTATTTACAACACGCAGTGACAATTTGCTTTCATGCTCAAAACACGGGAAAGACTTTAGAGTGTGCGGCTGTTCCCGTTTCTGTGTAGCTCACACCAGGGCAGGTATCTCGGGGCCTTATTCAGCATTGTGCCCAAACAACCCCAGGCAGTGTTCAGGAGCCGCTGGGAAGGAGCTACCAGGGTTTAAGCAGTTAAAGAATATGAAAATCAAATAAAACCTGGAAAACAGGGTTTTCATATCTATGGAATCTGATGGGTTTGAAGGTACAGTGCCCACAGAGAGTTCACAGCTTCGAGATTCTTCATGGTGCAGTTATTCAGGGAGCTTGCCAATTGTGAGCTGCAAAATCATAACACAAATACCTAATAATAGGCGTATTCCTGTTACTCTTTATTATCCCGGTCATGCTCCCAGCTATTCTCTCCTTTCTCCTCTTAAACCATCCCTGGGGAGAGGCTGACATAAATTATTATCCCTCCTTTATGGGTGAAGGCATTAAAGCACAGAGACATTAAATGACGTGCCTGAGGCTCTAAAATTAGCATGCAGCACAGGCGGGGTGAGAGCCCTTGTCTCTGTTTCCCCCAACGTTCCGCTGCTTCTATGGCTAACTGTGGGTATCCAACCTCTCTAGGTCCAAACGTCTCTGCCACCCTCATAAACAGCCATGAAGTCTTGGGAAAGCCTGCTGCTCTGCACCTGGGCCTGTTTCCACCTCACATTAACGCACCTTGAGAGCAATGTCTAGGAGCCACCTCTTCTCAGAAGCTTCCCTTCCCACCTCCAGCCGAGATGGTCGCCACCTCTGGCAACCTTCCGCCACACCTGGGATCAGCCTCACACCAACGCCGCCGGGCATGTAATTATACACTTTCTGGAACTATGTGCTCACGGCTTGCCAACTAACGGGTGAATGTTCTGAGGGTTGGCCTCCAGCTGCATCCCATGAGTCTTCTTTGGTGTCCTTCAAGGCCTCTGGAAGCAAGTTGGGCAGCACAGGGGCCTAATAAACTTGCTCAGTGATGTGTTGGATGCTGTAGGACGTGAGTGATGGGCAGGATGGATTCTCTCTGAAAGCTCCGCTGCTTGTTCCAGTCCCTCTCCGTCCTCTGCTCCATTTCACTCCGCACACGTAGCTATCACTACCACTGTGCTACGTGTCTGTCTGTCTGCATGTTTACGGCTGTCTCCCACGGCAGTGTCAGCTCCAGGGGAGCAAGGCCCTCCTTGCTTCTCCAGATCCTCGCACACATAGTAGCTGCTTGTTCCATTGGGATGTGTATCCCTCCAAGTCTCACGTTGACGTGATCCCCAGTGTTGGAGGTGGGACCTAGTGGGAGGTGTTTGGCTGATGGGGGGCAGATCTCTCTTGAATGGCTTGGTGCTGTCCTGGCAAGAGCGAGTGAATTCTTGTGAGATCTGGTTGTTTAAAGAGTGTGGCACCTGCAGCTTCTCTCTCACTCTGCTTTCACCATGGGATGCACCTGCTCCCCCTTCCCCTTCTACCTCAATTGCTTGTAAGCTTCCTGAGGCCCTCAGGTGGCACAGATGTCGGCGCCAGGCTTCCTGTATGGCCTGTAGGATCGTGAGCCAATTCAAACTTTTTTCTTTACAACTTGCCTAGCCGCAGGTGTTCCTTTGTGGCAGGGGTCTCCAACTCCCGGAACCAGGAGGTTAGGAACCAGGCCACAGAGCAGGAGGTGAGCAGCAGGCAAGCGAGTGAGTGAAGCCTCCTCTGTAGTCACAGCCGCTGCCCATCACTCACATACTGCCTGAGCTCTGCCTTCTGTCAGATCAGGGGCAGCGTTAGATTCTCCAAGAAGGGTGACCCCTTCTGTGGACGGCGCATGCGAGGGATCTAGGGTGTGCTCCTTAAGAGAATCTAGTGCCTGACGATCTGTCACTGTCTCCCAACACCCCCAGATGGGACCATCTAGTTGCAAGCTCAGGGCTCCCACTGATTCTATACTATCATGAGTTGTATAATTATTTAATTATATATTACAATGTAATAATAATGGAAATAAAATGCACAATAAATGAATCATCCTGAAACCACCTCCTGCTTCCATGGCCTGTGGCAAACTCACCTTCTGTGAAACCGGTCCTTGGTGCCAAAGCGGTTGGGGACTACTGCTTTTTTTTTTTTTTGAGACGGAGTTTTTGCTCTTGTTGCCCAGGCTGGAGTGCAATGGCACAATCTCAGCTCACTGCAACCTCCACTTCCCAGGTTCAAGCGATTCTCTTGCCTCAGCTCCTGAGCAGCTGGGATTACAGGCATGCACCACCATGCCCAGCTAAGTTTTTGTATTTAATAGAGACAGGGTTTTGCCATGTTGGTCGAGCTGGTCTTGAACTCCTGACCTCAGGTGATCCACCTGCCTCGGCCTCCCAAAGTGCTGGGGTGACATGCGTGGGCCCCTGCGCCTGCCCAGGGACTGCTGTTTTATAGTAACAACCAGACTAACACACAGCGCTCAGACACTTCTTTTTTTTTTTTTGAGACAGAGTCTCACTCTGTGGCCCGGGCTAGAATGAAGTGGCATGATCTGGGCTCACTGCAAGCTCCGCCTCCCGGGTTCACGCCGTTCTCCTGCCTCAGCCTCCCAAGTAGCTGGAACTACAGGCACCCGCCACCATGCTGGGCTAATTTTTGTATTTTTAGTAGAGACGGGGTTTCACCATGTTAGCCAGGATGGTCTCGATCTCCTGACCTCGTGATCCGCCTGCCTTGGCCTCCCAAAGTGCTGGGACTACAGGCGTGAGCCACCGCGCCCAGCCTCCAACACTTCTTGAATGAGTGAATGAAGATCCAGACCTGTACCCACTTGGCAGGCTCACCAGCCCACTTGCATACCAGTCACCTAAGATGCTTGTTTAAAACGCAGATTCTTGGGCCTCATCTCACAACCACCAAATTAGAATTTCTGGAGGTGGGACCCAGGGTGTAGCCATGGTGATTTTGATATCTGTTAAAGCTGAGACGTGGTGCCCGTTTTATAGATGAGAAAAGTGAACTTCAGAAAGAGACTTGCTCAAGGTCGCCAGACAGGTTATGGCCAAGTCGTTATCAAAGCCCAGATTTCAAACTCTCCATCTGGAGCTCTGTTCCACCAGGCTGCCTCATCTGTGTGATGGTAACATTTTCAGAAGGATCGAGTCCATAGTCTGTGTCAGGTCATTTGATGTTCAAAACAACCCGGTGTAGTAGATACTATCGTGACCTGCAGCGTAAAGACCAGAACTGAGAGCAGTGGCTGGCACTGAGGCGTGACCACCCAGCCTCCCATGGGGTAGGGCTGCTGCCCGGCTCTTGCAAATACAAAGCCCTTGCTTGCTCCAGACACAGCACTGCTTTCAGTGATGGAAATTTTTTTTTTTTTTTAAGATAAAGACAACTAAAAAATAGCTTGGGTAGGTAAGCTGTAGATGATGTTCAAATTCTGTATACGCAAAGGAATGCATGTCTTCAGTTGGGTACCTCCATACAAGAAAAAACATATGTAATTAAAAAGATTTAGACTCTGGGATATTCTTCCCCAGTTATCTACCAGTTATTCCAGGGGAACCCCTCCCTAAAGTTGGAAAAAGAATCAGGATACAAAGGATAAGGCCTCTTCTTCCCGTCAGGAAGTGTGTGTTCTTCAAGCTCAGAGGGCAGGAGGGCTCAACGTGTGCCCAGGGCCAAGGCTGAGCTCCCCAGAATTCCTCAGGGGGTCTGGGACCAGTGAACTTGCCCTTCTCCGTGCCCTCCTCCCTCCACACTCAGAGGTCTGGGACCGGTGAACCTGCCCGACTGCCCTTCTCCGTGCCCTCCTCCCTCCACACTCACATGTGCCCTGCCCACCTGTGCATTTCAGCATCTGCGGGAAGACTTCTGAGTACATTCAAAGAGGAAGTCAGAGGGCATGTTCCAAATCCATGCCCGGGGTTGGCCTTTCCCACTCAAGGCCCTTTCCCAGGCAGGAATTCTTCCTCGCCTGCTGGTCGGAGGGTCACACGAAGAAGGACTCTTCCATGTGCTCACCGGTCTGCTGACACAAGCCGCCTCTGTATCTGGCAACAAGAGCTGGGAGAAAGGAACCCATGGGTGAGGGTGGCACTATTTCTGGGCACACAGGTGTCTTCCTGGCTTCCCGGGCAGGATGCAGAGCACCCTGGGGACCAGTCCCGGCTTTGAGAGGTGCGGCGGTGTCCCTAAGCGCCTGCCTGCACTCCCAGGATGTAGCCACTCCTGCGGTAGAGGAGGAGGAGCTCATCAACCTTGGATATTGTTAAGGGCCGAATCGTGTCCCCCGAAATTCCTGTGTTGAAGCTCTAAACCCCAATACCCCAGATTGGGATTGCATTTGGAGACAGGCCTTTTAAGAGGTGATGGTAAAGATGAGGTCATTAGGGCGGGCCCTAATCCAGTGTGACTGGTGTTCTTCTAAGAGGAAACAGACGCACAGAGACAACAGAATGTGCGCACATAGAGGAAAGGCCCTGTGAGGACACAGGGGAGATGGCGATTCCCGGCAAGCCAAGGAGGGACCTCCGGGGAAGCCAGCCCCACTGACACCCTGGCCTGAGCCTTGGAGCCTCCAGGACTCTGAGAAGTCACTTTCTGTCGTGTGAGCCACCCCGCCTGTGTTTTCTTGCTAAGGCCGCTCTAGCGAATGAATACAAATACCGGACCAAGAAGTCCTGATGGCTGTGAGTCTGTTCTGTCTTTTCACACGTGTGGGATGTCTTAGGTCTCCCTGGGCTGAGGTCTGCTGGTGGGTGGGTTCACGCTGCAGGCATTCCTCCCGGGAGCTTTCCTGGGCCTTCTCTCTCGAGTCCCAACCTCAACCATCCCTCCATGCTGACAACGCCCAACTGCCCAACTCTGACTTCTCCAGCCTGTATTTCAGCTTCCTCCTCCCATTGTCACGCATGAGTCCCAACAGGAATTTATTATCCGAACCCCCAAACCCGCTCCTCCTTCCAGTGAATGGCATCAGCATTCTGCCCTGCAGGTTTGAAAAGGCAAGTATCGTGGGGTGCCTTGAGGGTGGTGCCCGGAGCCACTGTCTTTCTGGAAGTTACTGAACTATTTTCAAACTGTGCATTGAAGATCTGTTTGTAGCACAGCGATTTCTACTGTGTGATACTGAAGTTGAGTCATTGTCTCCAGTTTAGGGGATTACATCCAAAATATGATCATCAAGCCCTCCCACCTCAGGGGCAACTTGTCTGGAATCACAGTCCCTGTCTTGATTTCTGGTACCCCTTCCTTGTTTCAGTTCTTCATCTCCATGTCACCAGACTGTTGAAAGGCTTTCTAAGAGGCTGGGTGTCCCTGGTTTCAACTCTAGATATTCACGCCCCTGCCAGAATAATCTTCTGAATTTACTTTGAAGGCTTTTGATTATACGCAGGATAAAATCTAAATCTCTTTCGATGGCATTCAAAGCCCTCCAGCTCTGATCCTAACCGGCCCTCCCAAGGTTGTTTTCCATTCTTCCTCTTCTCACACTGTATCCTCTCACTCAACAGAAGCAGCCAGGCTTGAAGCCGGACAGCCTGGGTTCAAATCCTGGCTTCGCCACTTACTTGCTGTGTGACCTGGTGAGGGTTTCTTAGGTGCTGGGTATTAATATCAATAGGTAACTCTCACTCAGCACTTAGCTTGTATCAGGCCCCATGACGAGGCTCTCAAGGATTATTTTACTGAATTCTCCTGCCAGCCTGATTCTGTAGGGAGCCCTAGGTCTTACTATTGTCTCCCTTCTATGTAGAAGTCATTTAGGTGACTTGCCCAAGGCTTGAATCTTCAGTTTTTGCATCTGTAAAATGAAGATAATCATTATTTCTCCCCATGTTAGTCAAGACCTTACCCAGTTGCAAGCAACAGAAACCAACTCTAAGGAGCTTAAGTAAAACAAAGGAGGCGCCCCTTCCAGGGCCAAGGGACGTCCTCGGTCCGCTCCAGCTCTGCCCTCGCCTGATCCAGCCTCCCACAGATGGACGTGCTTAGGATGCAGAAATCCAGCCTCACATGCTCCCTGATGCCTGTGATCTCAGAAGGCAGGATGCTCTCTCCCCCAGCGCCCAGACAACCCAGGTCAAGGGGCCAGCCCTGCCTGCGGGAAGTGAGCCATGTTTAGAGGCTCCACTGGGCAGTTCCCCAAAGGGAAAGATTCTGGGGCAGCTCAAAACTAACAAGTGTTTGCTAACTTGGTAAATTTATTCAATTCAATAGTTTTGGAGTGCCTGCCCTGTGTGGGTGTGGGGAACCTGTATGGAGCCCACATGGAGGGAACTCTGTGAAGGCACCACATCTGGTGGCTTCTCCAGGGGACGTGCCACACATTGAACAGGGGTGGGCTCAGACTTCTCCTGCCAACACCAGGAAACACCTCCAACCCTGGGCCTGTGGTTTATGATGCGGTGCCCACGTCACTCCTCCCCTCCTCCCCGGTGACACAGGACAGGTGTGTGTGTGTCTCAGCGCACACAGCAGAACTTGTGCTGTGCATCCCTAAGCAGTCTCAGATAAGGGCTGTGCTTACTAGACGCACTGATGAAAGGATGGAGAGGGGCACTGGGCTTTTTTTGCCTCGAAACTGGCACAGAAGATTCAGGTTGTATCACTGTTCAAGTGCAGAAACATGAAGCTGTTTTGTATCAATATGCTTTTCTTTGATTTTGCTTCATCCGCTTTACAGAACATCAGAGTGTCTCAGTGCAGAGGTCCCTGTGGGTCAGCGTGTCCCCAGAACCTGCATCTGCACAACAATCCTCTCCCAGGGTCTACTGCATGCATCCCCCACCCCATACGCACCAGACGCCAATATGCATGGCCACGCGTCCCCCCACCCCATACGCACCAGGTGCCAACACGCATGGGCACATGTCCCCCACCCCATACGCACCAGGCGCCAACACACATGGCCGCACGTCCCCCACCCCATACGCACTAGGCGCCAACATGCATGGCCACGCATCCCCCTACCCCATACACACCAGGTGCCAACACGTGTGGGCACATGTCCCCCCACCCCATACGCACCAGGCGCCAACACGCATGGGTATGTGTTCCCCACCCCATACACACCAGGCGTCAACTCGCACGGTCACACTGCACCCCGTTCAGTGGTGTCATTCAAGGCCCTTTGGTGGCTGTTTATTTTTTAGATATAATTCACATGCCA